TAAGTTTATGTATCTCCTTTGATAGGACCATAAACTGTGGAAAGGACTTGGAGAGTTTCCTCTTTAAAATTAAAATTGCCTTCATTATTCATTTTAGCAACAACACAATCTACATCAGACTAGGAGACCAAGTATCCAACCACAGGGAAACACACAAAGGGAGTCACTGGAGAGTATCTGCACTAATGCCTGATTTGGGACAGAAGCTACTGGGGTTTACATACTCCAGAAACCAAGGATTTTTTATGTAACCAAATATATTTGTGTACCAGGAACCAGTACTTAATTGTCGGACAAATCCTGTTTTTATGGACAAGGGACAGAGCTGCACCCTTCAAGGAAGGTGAAGTCAGACTATTAATATATAATATATATTAATATTGAGAAGAGGAGAGGGAGTTCCTGGAATTGGGCTGATTCTTGGAATAATGGACTGGTTTTTAGAATGATGGAAGGATTATTGTAATACAAGTATTTCACAGTACTTGTGTTCCTGTACTGAGGTGGCTCATTATCCATTATTATATTCTTTGCTTCTATTCTCTCTTCTTCATGCTTTCTCCAGTCAATCCTGGAGGAGCTGACTTTCATATTATTATTTTCCCTCTTTCCTTTCTTCCTTCTGTTATTTCTTCTCCATGAACTGAGTTGCATCCAGTGGTGAAAGGAAATAAGGAAGGTGGAAACATTACTTCCAAGAAGCTAGCTCATTATCAATTATAATTTTCCTTGCTTATTTCTCTTCTCTTTCCTTTATGTCTTCTCCCATTAGCAGAGTCTGCAAGGGTTCAACATTAAGTTTGGAATGGTTTTATTGGAAAGTTCTGTACCAAACATGATAATTTCCACTGATAACAGAATGATGTTTCACATTTGGAAAAAATTGGTTAGTGTCTAGTGACAAACATTGAATTGCAGAATTACATGACTCATAAAGTCATGTTCTAGGTTTGAACAAGGGTGATGTACTGTAAATTTGGATAATACAGTAATTTTTCACCCTTGGAAAACTTCTTGCTCACAGATAAGCCCTGCTTTAATCAATGTAACCAATGAAAAAAGGCAATGTTGAGAATAGAGTACAGTACATGTAATTTTCACACCAACAGAAACCAATGTTTATACCCCATGTTTTACATAGTTTTAATTGGGAGAAAGTTGGTGTTTTTTTTTTACTTCACATGAGGATATCAGAGTAAGGTGAGGCCATTAATATTCCATTTGAAGTTGAATATTTTTTCAAATGGTACAAATTATTCATGAGTCAAGTCCTGATGTAACCCAAACCATGTGATAACAAACTTGTGATAGTCTTGTGTATTTCAACTTTAAGAAAAATGTTACAAGCTACTGTGTTTATATTTCACTTCCAGTTCCAAAATCAAATGAAGAGTTCTTCTTCGTGCTATTTCAGATCAATATATGGTTAAATTTGAGAATGTGCCTGTGCCCAAAACTTGAAGTCTGGTGAAAATCATTTTTCCATCAAGTTTCTTGACATAGATTCCTTTCTTTTTCACTGCAGGGAAGTTGTTTGATTGAAGTAATAAGTCACTTCTGTATATACTCATTGCTGCCAAAAAGCAAAGTAATGTGGTTTTGAACTTTTGCTCATGCTGAAAGGAAGTTTTTCTTCTTCAAAGAAGGAAATGTGAAAAATAATAAAAGAGGCACTTTGAAGTAATGCATTTTATTATGTAGCAACTTGAGTGCAAGGGCAGATGTTATTTAAAAATGTGTTCATGGCTAATAGTCTTGGTATATACAGCATGCAACATTATAAGTCAAAATGGGTTTTGAAGAAATTCTTTGTCATGAGCAAAATGCTGCTGTTTATGAAAATTAGAGAAGATAACTCGTTTGTCAGTTTTGTTTTTATTGTTGATGTTTTGGTATTTTTGCTCATTGTTTGGCCAATCATATGGGATCAGAATGAGCCAAGGAGGTCATCTTGGAGGAGCCATGGGTAAGAGGAGATGGTAATGATGAAAATGGAACAATGTAACTAAAACAATTTTTATTTTCCATCAGGTGTGAATGTGGCTAGCATCCAGCACTCTCATACATGCTTGATGTATGCACTTTATGGCAAAAAAACAAAGGTATTGAAACCACTGAGAGATGTGTGATATCTTGGTTATTAAAGTTATTATTTTATTTCAGCATGGATCCTTTTTTGGTGTTGGATGTTGTCCCCTGGGTGGAGAAATTGCAGACGGTTCACCATGAGGGCTATGACTGATGGATGCATCACAAAAAAAAATAAAAATTCTGCAGTCAAGGTCATGGAGAAGCCAAATCAATTTGCAGAAATATCATGTACAGTTCCACAGTGCTTCAAAAATGTGGTCCATGCTTGTTGAAGCTGTGGTTATATCATCATGATTTGCAAAAGTTGATACTTGGTGAGCAGAATCATTAACTGATCACATTTCTGGTCAATTTGCCATAATTTTTGTTTATTTCTTCTGTTAGGGTACCGTGACTTCTAGCCTTCTGGATTGACAAAGATTCCAAAGAAACAGCATTGGCAACATTGGTGACATTATTGCTTTCTGCTACTCCAGCCAAACCTGGACTCTGAAATGATGGATTGTGGCTCTTGTGTGTTCCTGATTCATTCTTTTGGCTCACTTGTTACTGTGTGCATTTTTCAAATCAATGAGAAATGAATTGGATACTATTCATGTGATCATGTTTTTTCCTTCCATTGCACAGTTTAGGCAACTTGTTCATTGTCTCTCAAGGAAAAAAAAATTGTTTGGAGAATTGAATCAATTCCAGAATGCAGCTCATAGCATTATATTATGAATGAAGCAGCAACTTTCTCAGTTTTCTATACTGTAATTGCAGAGGATGTGCTTCTGCAGGTAAAGTCAAACCTGATAATGAAATGTAACCATTTCTTCAGCCTTTTCTGGTGCTTTCAGGAGGAAGGGTTGATGGGTTAATTACCACTTCACCTGGAAATTATTTGTAGAAATTTTCAAACAATAAATAAGTTCAACATGTATGTTGCAACAATCATGATTGAATGAATTTTTATTGAATAAAAATAGAGGAAGGGTTGATGGTTTAATTACCACTTCACCTGGAAATTATTTGTAGAAATTTTCAAACAATAAATAAGTTCAACATGTATGTTGCAACAATCATGATTGAATGAATTTTTATTGAATAAAAATGATTCAAACAGGTCCACATTTAAGCATATAGAAGAGCTGCATTCAAATTTTTTCGTCATCATTTCAGCAGTGAATGCATGAGAGGGAAATGTTTTGAGAAAAAACATTATAAAATTATTTGATATTTTACAGTCCTAATGCTACACAATATGGACTTCTCAATTTTTTTTTTATAGAAACTGCTAACTTCAAATACAAAGTCAAACCATGCCTTATTCATACAATAACCAAGCATCCTCTATCCAGAAATCACAGCAGAAAAATAAAGTACATGTGCATGGTGAATACATTTTTGGGTGGAACTTTTTCCAAGAACAGTGTGGTAATTTCAAGAGAATAAGAAAAGGTATGGTGCCTAGTCTATGTAGTCACAAAAAAATACTGGTTGAACCACACACAATTCTAGGAAGATTAATAAAATGAAATGGCTTGTGAATAAATAAACCCATCAGTTGCAGATGCAAGAGGATGCAAAGGCTGGGGGATATATCTATTAAATAGTGGATGTTGCCATTATACAGAGGTGCCTTGCCTAAACAACACAATGTCTAGAGGGAAAATGTCACTTGTTTAACAGACCTCATGTTTTCCCTAAAAACTCAATGTAATGTCTATTAATTAGATCCTGTAAATGTAATCTACAGCAAAAATGATTAAAGTTGCTCAATCAAAAAAAACCTATGAAATATTATTTAAAGGACCAAAAGTTTCTCTCAAAGTTCCTCCCATTTGAATCAGCTTGATGTTCTCTATTCTAAATAACACACAGGAACTTTTTTCTCTTGTACTTCATGCATCTGCGACATCTATGAGCCAAGCAGGAATCAATAATTGCATACAATTGCATAGATGTCACTTGTGAATGAAGTCCATGTCTAAATTTATTGGAAACTACTGTACATGATTAAAAACCTCCCTGAGTTTAAGACTCTCCCCCCTCAAATCTCCATACACAGAATAATATACAGTCAACCCCCGTCTCACGGACTTGATTTCTGCAAGGGACAAGTCTGTTAGACAAAAAGTCCTTCACACAAATTCAATTACATAAAAATTGAAAATTTCAATTTTCCACACTAATTTTAGACCAAAAGAAGTCTGTTTGGTGGATTTTGTCTGTTGGGTGGGAGGAAAAACTGCTTGCAGAGCTGGTCTGTTCGGCGAAAATCCCTTACACAGGAGGTCTGTTAGGTGGGGGGCCACTGCATTCTACTTTCAGAGGAGAGGGTAACCATGAAAATGTACCTTGTAAACTTGACTGCGACTTTTTGAAGAGCTGAAAACTCATAAGGCAAATGCAATGTTTCCAAGTTCTGCATCCTGTCATCACAGTTGAGAAACAATTTTAAGCCTAGAATTTCATCAATTACAATTTCCTGCAATTCTCCTTTCTTTCCTTCAGCAAAAATGCTCCAGATAAAAAATAATCAACTTGAGATTAAAAACCACTGAAGGAGCTATAATGGAATGTGTTCAAAAAATTAGAAAGGTGGGCTTGAAGACAGGTTCTCAGAATGAAAAATAGATAGTAATATGTTATACCAAGTGAGAATTTGTCTGAAGTGTTTCAGGGGGAAAGTCAAATTATATTTTTCATCAGATAATTTCAACTGCCCTTGTCTTTCAAAAACTTCAGATGCAGATAACATTCATTTCTACTTTTGATACTGCTGTGTAAACCAGTGCAGACAAATACAAATCCTTGATACTTGAATTACAAACCAGCCAATTTACTGATAATTTAGTTCTGATCTGTCCAACAGTCTCACCTCACTTTATCACCAGATCCACTTGAATTATAGTCAACCATGAACATCCTTCTAAAAAATTTTGTTGAAAATAAATCATCAAAATGGCAAAATCATGCCACAAAAAAACACAACCTTCATATCTCCCTTCATTCACTGTTGCGACGCCAGTTCTATGCAGTCTTGCAAGGCCACAGGAACCCAAACCCCGCGTTCGTTCAACATGAAAATAACATTCTTATCTAGACACAAATTCAGTTTCCCGCAGAGGTAAACTTGTTTCGCTTCATGAGTTCGATTCGGGATCGGATAAAACACGATTCCCCGCTCGTGACACCGTCTGGCGAGAACATCCTTGAATCCTTCTTGCGCACTTCCTCTGGCGTTCATCGCTTCTGCAAGGACCTGCACAACCACAGAGTTGACATGCAAACATCAATACATCTCATCATAACAAAATTTTTCAGATCAGAATAAAAAAACTATTTTTCCAAATCCTGGCAGAAAATTACAGGGTACATGTCATAAAAATCTTGTTACAACAAAATTGACAATTCCAGTATAACAAACTTTTTTAAGGGATCATCTTGTGATTAATCAACAAAAAATCCCCAACAGTAAGGCAGACACAAGTCTCAAATTTCCCATTCAAAATGTGACTGCATTCTTCAAACATAGGGTGGAATCAAGGACAAATATTCTTCAAAATTCCCCAGATCATCCTTTCATTCAAAATATTTTTCCTTGGTTGGGAAAAATGGAGGAGGGGGATGAAATTAAATTAATTCAGCAAACAAATGTTGAAAGGGGTTTGTTTGGTTGAGGAACAAAAATTGCAAGCCTTTCTTTTGGAACATACACCCCTTACAAATCTGTGCAAAATTGCTTAGAAAAAACCTCAAGTCAACAAAAAGTGCTATTGTGCCCTTTTTATTTAGAATAAATATTTGTTATTAACATATAAATTTTAATTTTGAAGATTTGAATATCTTTTAACACTGAAAAACATCTCAAAAGGCCACAACAGGAAAATGTTGAAAACAGTGAGACCCCCACATGCAAAAAATTCAACATGGGGTCATTTCTTTTTTCAATAAAAAAATCATAAAAAGGCCCAACATAGGGGACACTGACTCAAGATGAGGACATTTCATGATAAAATTGCCAATAAATTTCAGGAAAATTGACTTTCATTAGGCTTAATTGCAAGAAACAGATATTTCCAATCCTAAGATCTATGTATGAGAAATTATTTGGTAATTTTCCCATCACTTTCTCATCCATTCAGCCTGATTTAAAAAAAATTACCTGTAGCACAGAGGGACTTCTTTCTCTTCTTGTGAATTGGATGTCATTTTTACAGATGCCAACATTTCAATAAAATATACAATGGTACACTATTCAATGTTCAAAATGTTCTTATTGGGTTGAAAATATATTCACTGAATCAAATTCATGTGGCAAACAAATTTTTTTCATGGAATTCCAAAGAATATTTCTTCCATGAAACAAGAATTAAAAATTATATCATGTGAGTCTATGGGAAAAGAAGACTCAACTTAGGGACACTCTTTATGCACCAATTATATCCACATCTGGGGGCCTCACTGTAAATGCAGTGTCGATTTGTTTTAAATCCTTCAATCAGTCATAAATTTATAAACCTCGTTTTAACAAATTATTCCTTATACAACTTCGTTGCACTGAGATTTCACACCAATGATTCTGTACTGCCACAAAAAAAAATCATCAACATCAAGTAACACATACACTCAAGTCAAGTTGTCTCTGCATTTCCTGAGCGGTGGCGGCAAACGGCGGCGGTGGTGGCGGCGGCGGCGCTTGTGGCCCAACCGGCATCAATCCCGGATTATTCAATCCCGGATTATTCACCCCCAGGGCAGATCTTTGCATCATTTCCAACGCTTGTCGCAAATAATCTAGAGAAAAATCCATCGTCAACCCAAAAAAACCCCATTCCTCACAACAACAACAACAACAACAAAAAAAGAGACACACGAAACGTACCTTTGATGGCGGGAACACTCAGCAAAACGGCAGGAAACAACGTCTTGCACTTGACGTACCACGCAGAAACTTCTTGCTGTCTCGGGGCATGGTTCAGCCACAAGGATAAAGCTTGCAGCCATCTCGGGAAGAAGGACTGCATGTAGATGGCGCTGAACATGGGCAACGGGATCATCTCTGACCATTCCGAGACCCACGACATTTGCTGGGCATTGGGTTCTTGTCCTGGCGCCAAACTCACCTGGAATATAAAAAAAAACCAGATAATTTTCAAAAGTCATAAAAGCAAAACACACTAATTTCTATAAACCTTCAACCTCTCTATTCAAAATATTCGTTACACCCCACGTGAAATACCTGAAGGACAATGAGTAATAAACCTTCATTCCTTCATCACTAAGTTTTGAAAACAATAAAAATCTGAGGAATGCCAAAAAAAGCATAATCTAATTTATTATAGGCCATCATTACTTGAACATTTTTTCTTCACACCAATTTTGAAAATCTTGTAAAACAAATGCTTCGGTATAACAGACTTTTCCTGAAGTCCCCGAACATTTTTTCAACAAGATTTTACTTTATCCATTTTCATATTTAGAAAAAATAGATGTTTTGCCAACTCAAATTTTTCTTCTAAAGGAAAATCTTGCTACAACAAACTTGTAGCACTTCAGGAAAAAATTGTTGAAATTTTTTGAAACCAGATTTTCAAAATGTTTGACTCATTGAAGAATTTCTTTTACATTAAACCTGCATTCACTCAACATTTCCCTTCTGGGCCTTTCAAGATATTTTTCAGTGTTTTAAAAACTTGTGATCTTCAAATAGAAATTTTTTATGTCATAAAACATTTACTCTGATAAACAGGTGAACAGTAAAACATTTTTGTTGACTACGTTTTCCTCAGCAATTCCAGCACAGATTTGTAAGGTTGGGTGTTCCAAAAAAAAAGCTTCAAGTTGTTCAGCATCAATAGGGTTTCTCAAGCAAATGAACCTCTTTTGACATGAGTTCTGCCAGGTTCATTTCACATCAAGGTTCATCCTACTGCAATTGCAGAGTTTTCTTCAACAGAATTTAATAACATGTATCTCTATGGGATTTCTTCTAGGACTTAGAAACATTTTTCAACAGTGTTTTTTTTTTTCAACAATCCCTTATACCATATTTACTCAAGTACCACGCGCCATCAAGTACAGTGCACACCCCCATTTTTCCACCAGAAATTAGTTCAAAAACCTATCCCTTTGTAAGATGCGCACCTCAGTTTTTTGTTGTTGCTGAAAATCAAAAAATGTGAAATTAAGTTGAAATGTTAAACTGTTTTATTTTTAAATTCATTTTTCCCCATCAATATTTTGTCTTTCTGTATTTTTCCCATCTACAGAAGCAATTAAAATGCATTTGCAATATAGGACAGCTTCCTCAATTAGATAAATATTACCCCATTCCTTTACTTTGTGTTGCATCTCCAAGGGATGAAACAAATTGAGCCATTATTCCCCATGCAGGATGAGACTTGGAGCCACACTTTTCCTCTCCAATTTTTTCACTTGTATGTGAAGGGCACTGGTTTTGGGAATTTTTCTCAAAAATTCATCCCCAATTACCACGTGCACCCTATTTTTCTGCCTCAATTTTTAGAAAAAAGGTGCGCGTGGTACTCTAGTAAATATAGTAGTTGGACTCAGAGAGCTTGAACTTTACCTGGAGCATCACAGCATGAAGTTTAGGGACTATGTGCCTCAGCAAAAAGGCTTCCATCGACCCACGAGACCAGACTCCGACCCAAGGCGTGAGCATGAGCCTCGCAGATCTATCAGCAGCATGCCAATTCATCAAAGCATCGCCCAATTTCTGCCGGATGACGGGATACAAAATTTCCAAGTGCGTTCCCATGTACTGCAACCAAGGATGGATCCAGCCATGGATCGGAACCGTGTCCGTCAACGGGTTCCACTCGTCAACCGCAGCCTGAATTCCGAATCAAAACTCAAAATCCACACGCGGGAATCACGATGTGATTCGATGAGACACAAACCTGAAGCTTGGGCAAAACGACGGCCTCGAGAATATGCAGCCAACACGGCTGAGGAACGAGTTCTTTCCACACGTCGAAAATGGTCGCGAGCTTCTCGCACTCTCGCGGCTCCCAAATGCTCACTGCGGCGCGGAGACGCGGCATCCAACAGTCCCACACGAGCTTATAATACACATTGTCACTGGCTTCACCGCCGACGTCTTCCAGCAAGACTTTGGCATCGCCAAACACGTCTGTGCCGAAATTGGCGCACTCCAATGGGTGCCAAGAGTGCAAATACCGCTTCACGAGCGGGAACAAGATCGGCACGGCCAAGTGGTGCAGCCTGAAAAACGCGTTCACTTTTGTTTCACTTTCCGTAAAATGAGAATCACGCACACGACCTACTTGAAGAATTTGAACTCGATGGGATGTTTGGAACGCGCGAGGCCGAGCATGGCGAAACCTTCGGTCAGAATCTGGCGAAGATCGGATGCCTCGGACACATTAGTGCATCTCGCCTCGAGCTGATTCGTCACGTCTAACAGCTCGTTGAGAACGGAAATGGCTTCGTCTTCTTCTCGCAGACGCTTTGTCAAAACGGTTTCCTCTTGCTCCAAGGCTACAATACGGTCTGAGCTGTACATCGACTTCTTGTCCAGCTTCACGAGGTCCTGAGACCATTGAAAAAAATATTTTGAGAATTACGCATTGAGAGAAGACGGTGATGTGAAGATAACCTCTTCGGCCAAGTCGGTGAGCAGATCTAAGTTGTGCATGAGCTCGGGAAGATCGAAGTTGCGATGCTTCAGCTTTTCAGCTAAGGTTACATCTTGAGGCACAAACTGTTCGTGGCGCAAGTGACTGTATCCCGAGAAGATCCGCTGCTCAGGACCACGCATGTCGATGACTTTGACTTGCGAGGCATCACTGATGGAAAAATATGTCATCCTTTTCTGAATATCGAAGGTAAACGGTTTTTTCTTTTTCACTCACCTGAGCTCGACGGGTTCGAATCTCTTGCCTTGGCTGGACTCAAGCACCTCTTCAACTGATCGGTACACGTACTTGATCTTCTTTTTAGCCGTGTTTTCGGATTTCCGCCAAGCACCGGATCCGGAACCGGCTTCGTTGTTCTGCTTCGTCTTTCCGTAAGTTTCTTTCGTGTCGGCCAAGCGCTGGCCTTTTTCCACACCATAAGCACCAATAGCTCCACGACCTTGTCGCTTGTGAACTTCGACAGGGGTTGCGATCCCTTGAAGGCTTGACCCGAGACCCTTCCCGGGTTGATAGCCCATTTGAAGGAGCAATTTAGAACCGATGCCTTTCGTGTACTTCTCCCAGTTGGCGATATTGGAGTTAGATACGGAAGATGAGGATGATGAACGCATGCCGGCGAGCTCGTTTGACCCAAGACCGGCATACTGCGAAGGTTTCTTTGACTTTTTCGAGACCACAACCACTTCTTCCTCACTGAACACACGTAACAGATGGAAAACGTTGATGCATAACGTCACTTCACGAGGGAAGGTTGTGAAACTCACTCTTCTACGAGACTGGACGTACTCGCTTTAGGTTTACCGGATTGTTGAACCCCACCGGATACAAATCCAATGCGACTTGTGTAGCTTTTGCGCGATGCAAAGCTGGCCTTCGGAGCTGCCTCTTCTTCCTCGTCACTTTCTTGTGCCCATATACCTGGGAAACATCGGGGGAGGGGGGGGGGGGGAAATAAGCGTGGGAGAATCACGGGAATCATTCGGAATTCACGTTACCGTATATCTGCTGATTTTTGGACAACCTCTTCCTCTTGTGCTGGCTGAACTCATTTTCGAGGTCGAAGTCAGTTATCTCGAATTTCTCAACTTCGTCTTCTTCGTCGGATATCATTTTATATGCTTTCTAGTTCAGGCTACGCGACCTTATCCACTTCTTCACTCACAACAGATGGAAGCGACACATTGTCTCGTCACAGCAAAACCACTCCGGAGGAAAGAAGACTAGGTAAGACAAGCTGTGGTTGAGAGAAAAAAAATCTGACGTTTGGCGAATAATCAGGAATGACAAGCTTCGGCACTTGTAACCTAGAGGTGACCTCATTCCTCTTTCAAATTCAACGTTAGTACAGTACAGTGCAAAATCAACGAATTCGTCTGTGCCGCCCACACCGGTGTGCCTGCGTATTGATTGCATCTGAATAAGCTAGGTGTCGCTGTTTCCAATGAGGATGTACCACCACCAGAATCACAGTTCAAGTATAATAGATCATTCAAAGCATGCCAAGTTCTTTTTGGTGAAAATTTGTTATCCCGAATTTACTTAAGAGGGATGAACAAGAAAATTTCCAAACAAGTGTGCATTAATTATAATTTACTTCAGATCAAAACAGGAAAAACTCTTGTGGTGAATTTATCTATTTCTTATGGGTGAGGTGAATTGAATAGTGATTTGCAGGATATATAAAGCAGGTATATTTTGGATGCAGCTTCAACAGACAATGAAATAATGCTCTTAGGTTTATTGAAGTTGTGAAAGCTCCAGAGAAAACTTCCCTCAGACAATTGATGTCCACAAAATTGCATTATAGGG